AAAGACAACAATTTTACAAAGCAAGCGCCTCCATCCGAGAATGCCTGCATCCATGGTTTCCGCACATGGCTGCCGTATGTGTGTCTAGTTATCCCGCCAGCGCTTCGCTTCAGCTGGCCAACCGTCACACAACCGAAGCACGTGACCCAAGACCGGCCGATATACGCCACTGGCTACTTTCGACGCTGCAATGACCACAATCTCCGTTGCATGAGATTAGCAAGATCTTGCGTAAGTAAGGGCGTTTTACCTCGGCATTCCCTCACGAGATTCGCTCCTGGATATCAAGTCCCGACTGCAACAAACAGAACTCCTGGGCCCGATCGTACTCGCGCTTGCCACTTAAAGTTCCTCCTTCAGCTGGGACCCCGATAGCTTGGCCCATTCTATTGCCCGTCAGGCCCGGCATCCGTTGAATGTAGCATGTGCAGGCTTCAATGATTAGCAGCCGGCTCTGCTACGGGCGCAGGTGACTAGTTCAAAGGCTCAAACCCGGCGCGGGCCTTGTCACTGCCACCAATGTACGTCGGTGTCAACGAACTAGCAACGCGTTCTAGAGTCAGTGTTTCACTGTCGCAAAACCGTCCTTATGAAAACCATGTATTGTGCCAATACCGTCTTCAAGGGCCTATTCAGACCAAAATCGGGGTCTTGGCCTTCCGAAGGCAAACGGGGTTTTGCTAAGCCTGATTATCGACTTCGAGTCGGAACTTGAAGTTGCAGGATTCGTGTATCACCCTGGACGGGGGGTCTTATTCAGACTGCACCGGGGTTCCGGGTTCCGGTTGTCGGGTGCGTTACGTCAACTTTCGTCACTATTATGTACAGCCTCTGTATTGCTTGGTGTACCAATGTACACGACGTACGTACTCCTCGCCAAAAAACGTCGATGGGCAACTTGGCGGCCTTCATTGGCAGTTCCCGCCGTTTGGCAGAGTGTGACGGTTGGCCAGCTTAAGCGAAGTGCCGGCAGGATAACTACGAAACACTAACGGCAGCCATGTGCGAAAACCATGGTTGCAGGCATTCTTGGACGAAGGCGCTTGCTCTGTAAAAATGTTGTCTTTCAGCTCAAGACAGTGCTGCTTGCTGGTTGGGAATTTGCACCTCGAATGATCCTTGCAAGTTGAACCAAGCCATGTTCCTCGCTCGCGCATTCAGTGAAGACCTGAATTATGGAGGGGCAGTCTCGAGCGCACTCGAGGGCTGCATCCAATCATTTCCAAGTCCCCCGTCCAGCTGTTGAGGTAGCGTACTCACGACCGCATAGTAGGGCACAGTGCGCCACGCCAAGCAATCCTGGTCATGACAGCGACTGACATTGACTAACGAACTGTTTAGGACTAAACGGACTGAGCAGAACTAAACACAATCATTTGCCCTACCATACAACTTAGCCTTAGAAGCATAATTACAACTAATTATGTCACATCAATACTAGCCACATGCCAACACGTCGGCAAACTCGCAAAACCCGAAGATTAACACTTATGAGATGCGGTTAGACTTAACCATAGCCCAATCGTCACACAGAGACACCCCTTTTCTCGATCGAGAAAGGGCCAAAGGGTTAGGTGCCAAAATTTGGAATGCTTTGATAACCTGCGTGCGCACAACGTCAGCGGAGACTTGATCGGTCCGAATAGCTAGCTCAAATCGGATACTCGGATTGGATGCTATGATTTTGGCACCCAGGTTCGCAATTTGCCTGAGAGACCCCACATCCCAAGGGTCCATTTGAACAGGCCCCAAGTCCTTCGATCTGGTGGGACGGTCGCCGAACTTAGGCTTGGGATCTGCCTTTGGGACGTTTTGATATCGCATTGGTTTCGCCGAACTTGAAGGAGA